TTCTTGTGGAGCCCTCATCCCAGATTGTGGTTTTTCAGGGAATCCACACCATCCTTGCATGGGAAGAAGAAATGTACACCTTTGTAAAAACACAATGTGGGCCTGAACCTTTTCATAGATTATAAGCATATGAGCAAGGATTGTGAATTCCTATTTACGGTCGACTGCTTAATAGCTCATGAAGTAACAGATGATGTTGATGATGCACAGCTACTAAATATGATAGCTTTTGCACAGAAACAAGAGGCAACTAGGACACAACCAGGGTTTGTTGTGCATTTCACAATAAGCTGTTGAAATATATTTACATTCAGCAAGACAGCCCTTAAGAGCAAATGCTGGATAGCTCCCTGAGGAAGTTTACTAACTTTAAGGCTGGCTGAGTTGAGGGCCATCATGTTTTTCTTAAATGGAGAACTCTTCCATATGGGACAAGGTGAGGGCTGCATTATCACTCTGAAAGTTGTTGGAGGCTGTATTCCAGTAGTGAGCGGGCTAGATCCACCACAACCCCTCACAACAGATTCCCAAGAGGAAACTCTACTCAGTATTGTTTCATTTTCTCTATTGACTTTTTGGGAAAAGAAAAGAGAGAGAAAAGTTTTAAAATTAATTAATTGATTGATTGATAAGACTGCTCTTCAATAGAACTGCCTTGTCTGGGGGGGGGGGGGGAGCCAAAAAGAACTCTGTAATCCCAACAGAAGAATGCAAATAATGCCAAACCACAGCTGTATTGCAAGCTATGCCACATTGCTCTTCAGTGCCTCCATCTTCAAAATCCAACTGCAGCCCCCAAACTTGCAGGCATTCAGTTGCAAAAATGCATGGATGGCTTTTTGCATATCTGCAGGAAATCCAATCTCTCTTTGCACAGACACTTTCCCCTCTGCTTTCATCTCCTTGTAGCAGATAATTGCAGAGGAAAGAACTGCAATTGTACACTTTTCACAACATCAGAGCCCTTTCTCCTCTCAGCTGTTCATTGGGGAGCAGCTGTTGCTGAGGAGGGGACCCAGAGGGTGGGTGCTTGTGCAGCTAGGAGTTCCTTACTTCATTGTAAGAAAATACATACAGTCCAGAAGTAGATTATTTTGGGTTTTGCACGCTTAGCCTCCATGAAAGTGCTTTCCATTTCTGAAAATTCATAGTAACCTGAATTGTTTTGTGTAATCCTTAATAAGGGGACCGGCTGAACAGTTTCCTCAGTGATTCTTTAGGCAATAGTTTTACACATGCTTTAGATATGTGTCAATTATTATTATTTTTAAATCCATGACTGCTTGGTTTGTAGGTTGTAAAAGCAGAGTTATAAAAACATCTTATTACTTTCTGGAAATTTCTTTAAATATTTCTGGTAAGAGGAAACATGAAAATATTATGTGAACTTGAACTTTAAATAGCTTTATAGAGAAGTATTTGCTTCTACTCTAAAGAGTAGTAAAGCTGGCTGTTTAAGGAGAAAACTTCATTGAATCTGGAATGTTCTAAAGCCTGCAGTGACGTACCCACGGATGGCAGTTAATACAAGTGGAACAGTAATAATAGCACTGGTTCTGTTCTCTTCCTGCAATAATATAGGTTTATACTAGTGAAAATATTGCTCTACGTTTGGGTTCTCCTTTTCAGAACCCTTATTCTTGACCAACTCAAAGCATGGTAAAAGGAACTCAGATCTCTAGAGAAATATCGATCTATAGTTCATTTCAGAGAAGCGATAAACTCTGGGCTAATCTGGAAATTTCTGAATATTCCAAATTAAGTGTGATTCTTTTGGTTTTTTATATTCTTCTAATTAAATGACAAGGTCTGGCTAGTTGAGACTTTGAGCTTGAGATAACCTCTGAGTGTTAGAATTCCAGAAGCAAGGAACACTTTGATCAAGCCAGGCTTACAAATATTTTAGTCTGAACCAGTAGTTGCTAGTAGGGTGGTGTTTGTCACCGGCCTTCTGAACACTGAGCATCTCTGGTGGTTCTTGAGAAAGGTTGCGTTCAGCATGGGGCAGGTGTGATGGCAGGAGTGCCAGATTTGCTTCACCACTGAGTTGCACCGCACTCTCTCTGTCTCAGGAACTAGCAGTGATGCTCAGTGTTTAGAAGGCAAGTGAGCAACGCTACACTCCCTGCCCCACTCCACTAACTGGTGCTGATCTCAGCTTAATACCTTCAGTGAAGGAGAGCATTCTACCTCCCTAGACAGTCTTTGCCACTGTCACAAGGTCACAATATGACCAAGGCACAAATAACTGGCCTATGTGGATTTGATACACTGACTTCTACTTTAAGCTATGCTCTCAGCCATTGAACAGCATTAGCAAGCCAGTGCAACATTATCCTGGGCCAGAGATGCCTGATGTGCCAATGCTGCATTTGAAATTGAAGACATCCTCCATGAATTTGCCTAACCCTCTTAAAACCCCATTTAAGGTTGTTACTAATGGCACTTATTCTGCTTCTTCAAAATAATGATGTACTTCCTGAACCTACTGCCAATCAACCCCATAGCATGTCTCTTGAGTCTCAGGTAGGAGAACAGATTGTGACAAACTACCTCAGGGAAGATGGGAGCAGGGCAAGGTGACAGAGTCTGTTTCTTAACCTCGGTCACTCCATGTCTATTAACAACTGAGAATTCAGAAATTCTCAAAATGTGGCAGCATATAATAAAGGCCCTCTGCCTGGTTCCCTGTAGCTTTGCTTCTCGCAATGAGGGAACCGCCAGAAGGCCCTCGGCGCTGGACCTCAGCGTCCGGGCAGAATGATGGGGGTGGAGACGCTCCTTCAGGTATACTGGACCGAGGCCGTTTAGGGCTTTAAAGGTCAGCACCAACACTTTGAATTGTGCTCGGAAACGTACTGGGAGCCAATGTAGGTCCTTCAAGACTGGTGTTATATGGTCTCGGCGGCCGCCCCCAGTCACCAGTCTAGCTGCCACATTCTGGATTAGTTGTAATTTCCGAGTCACCTTAATATGCAGCAAGAACTATCAATATTGGGGTTCCCGTGACAGTTTACTGGGCATAAATTAAAGCTGGGGCACAATGGAAACGAAAACTATATTTTTATGAACAAACACTCAATGGAAGATAAAGCTTGATAGTTTCACTATTAAACAAGATTTTTTAAAAATCCCCAGCAAGAGAACTGCTTCTATGAAATCTTATTTCATCCCAGAATGGCTATCTGCTTTTACTCTGCCTGTAAAACACCCCTAGCCCCTTTGTAAGCCCCCCCTTCCCCTGAGGAAATTAATCAGGTTTATCCTTCCTGATAAACCCCCTTTGCACCATAAGCTGCTTCTGTTGCCATGCCCTTTCCTGCTGGTTAAACCGTCAAATTATCCCTTTACCATCCTCACTCTCTCCTGATTGGCCATTTCTCCTCCCTGCCATGATTGGCTAAGGGTCGCCAGGACGGATAACACAATGGTTTGTCAGCTGCACAAGCATCTCTAAATGTGTTCTTCCTAGTTCAAGGATGGGGAACGTCCATGAGATGGCCCTTCAGATGATGTTGAACTCAGGCTCCCATCAGCCCCAGCCTACATGACCAGTAGTAGTGACAGATAATGGGAGTTGTAGTCCAGCAACCCCTGGGAGCCACAGGTTCCCATTCCTGTTCTAATCATGCATACTTTTATAAATCTCTGTGATGTTCCCTCTTAGCACACACTCTCTGAAGCTCCATGTTCTTGAGCCTTTCCAGGGAAACTCTTCCAAGCTTTTGACCATTGTAGTTTATTTTCTGTGCCTTTTCCAGCTCTACGGCATTCTGTTTGGGTAACCAGAATTGCACACAGTATTCTAAATCTGGGCACAGATTTGTATAATGGGATTATACTTTCTCTGTTTCTTACAGCTGGGGGGCAGGATGAGCTAAGCCTCTGTCCACTGTTCCTACTATGCTCATCAATGTGGAAAGAACATTTGGGGACTGAAATTCATTCTGTTGTAGTGAGCAAATATGACTTATAGTTATAGATGAAGTTTGGGCAACTGGCATATTAGAAATTTTTTATTTTAAAAAATTATTTAGTAAAGTATCTTTGAATTGATACACTGCAATAGTAAGAGTGAGATAATAATTTGTATTCTTTGGGTTTGAAGTTACTGATCCACGTTAGTGTCTGAACTGGAACTAAGCCAGAGTTTTCACTTATATATACACACAACTGCCTGCTAATGAACATGAACTCTAACCAAACCCAGTTTTTTTGTAGTTTAAGCCTTGGCTTTCAATACATAGAAGACCAGGCATCAGATGTGTAGTCATGTAATCATTGGTACAAGATGTCTCTAAAGAGGCAGAGAGGCATAGAAAATGTTTCAACTTTATAGTGATGGAAAAGGGTAAAAGTAAACCTTTGGTCTGATCCATAAGAGATTTTATGTTCTAATGTTACCCAAGCTTTGGATAACATTAGAACAGAAGAGGATCCTGGTTGGACTAGACCAATGACTTACATATAGTACAGATAGATGCCATCTATAGGGAAGGTAGTACATGTTTCAATGACAGTATGTACATTCACCAGAAATTTTCTGGTGAAAAAAATCTGGTGGCTGGGGAAAGAGAGGATCAAAAGGAGAATTTCCTTCCTGCCCTTTCTTGTTAAAAGTTGTGCAACATTATGCACAACAGCTCCCAAGGAATGTACTTTTAAAAGAACCCTTAATGTACTCACCCCTTAAAGGAATAGCATGCTGCACATTTTGGCAATTTTGGGTGTACTCATATGTACAAGCACCTAGAGAAGGGATGGGGAACTTGTAGGGATGGGGAACCTATAGCCATCCAATTGTTGCTTGACTCCAACTCCCATCATCCCTGACCATTGGCCATGCTGCCTGGTGCTGATGGGAGTTGGAATCCAGCAACATCTGAAGCCCTACATGTACCCCCCCTTGCTTAGAGATATGCATAGTTTAGGTAGTAGGAATTATTATTGTGTTCTTTTCAAAAGAAGCTTATAACACTGTGTGTTTTCCCCTTCCTCAGACTAAAGAAGCTTCTTGAACAGGAAAAGATCTACCAAGCCCGAAAGGAAAAAGAGCATGCAAAAAGGCTCAACAAGCTAAGAGAAGAATTGGTCAAACTCAAGTCATTTGCACTCATGCTTGTGGATGAAAGACAGATGCACATTGAACAACTGGATCAGCAAACCCAGAAAATACAAGATCTAACTCAAAAACTAAGGGAAGAAGAAGAGAAACTTAAGATTCTGGGTACCAAAGGAAAAGAGGATGGGCAGAAGCTAATGAAGCTAGAGGCAGAACTTGAACACAAGACATCCTCCTTTTCCCAAGAGCATGAGGAGATGACTGCCAAACTGGCTAGCCAAGAGTCGCACAATAAACAGCTCAGGCTGAAACTGGCTGGTTTAACCCGGAGAATTGAGGAGCTGGAAGAAACCAACAAAAACCTTCAGAAGACTGAAGAAGAGCTTCGGGAACTGAGAGACAAAATAGCCAAAGGGGAATGCGGCAACTCCAGCTTGATGGCTGAGGTGGAAAACCTCCGCAAGCGGGTGCTTGAGATGGAAGGCAAAGACGAGGAGATCACAAAGACTGAATCTCAGTGTAAGGAGCTTAAAAAGAAACTACAAGAAGAGGAGCATCACAGCAAAGAATTGAGGCTTGAGGTGGAGAAACTGCAGAAGAGAATGTCTGAACTGGAAAGGTTGGAGGAGGCTTTCAACAAAAGCAAATCTGAATGCACTCACCTGCGTTTGAACCTGGAGAAAGAAAAGAACTTAACCAAAGACTTGATCAATGAGTTGGAAGTGGTGAAGACGCGAGTGAAGGATCTTGAGTCTTCAGAGAGTAAGTTGGAGAAAGCTGAATTAAACTTGAAAGATGACCTGACAAAGCTGAAGTCTTTTACTGTCATGCTGGTTGATGAGAGAAAGAACATGGTGGATAAGATAAAGCAGGAAGAGAGAAAAGTTGAAAGCTTGAATAAGAACTTCAAGGTGGAGCAAGGCAAAGTTATGGAAGTGACTGAGAAACTAATAGATGAGAGCAAAAAACTGTTGAAGTTGAAATCTGAAATGGAGGAGAAAGTGTCCAGCTTGACAAAGGAAAGGGATGAGTTAATTGGCAAGCTGAAGAGCGAGGAAGAAAAGTCCGCTGAGCTGAACTGCAAAGTGGATCTGCTGAAGAAAAGGGTTGATGGCATAGAGGAGGTAGAAAGGGAAATAGCCAGAGGCCGTGTTAAAAAAGGGACTGGGCTTTCTGGACAAGAGGACAACAAAATTAAAGAGCTAACAGGTGAAATTGAAAGACTGAAGAAGCGTCTCAAGCAATTGGAAGTTGTTGAAGGAGACTTGATGAAGACGGAGGATGAATATGATCAGCTGGAGCAAAAATTTAGGACTGAGCAGGATAAAGCTAACTGTCTTTCTCAGCAGCTGGAAGAAATGAAGCTCCAGATTGCAAAAAACAAAGCAATAGAGAAGGGAGAGGCAGTGACTCAGGAGGCAGAGCTGAGGCAAAGGTTTCGACTGGAAGAGGCGAAAAGCAGAGACTTAAAAGCAGAAGTGCAGGCTCTCAAAGAGAAAATTCATGAGCTGATGAACAAAGAAGACCAGCTTTCTCAGCTCCAAGTGGATTACTCAGTCCTTCAGCAAAGGTTTCTGGAAGAAGAAAATAAGAACAAAGCCATGGGCCAGGAGGTGCTGAATCTGACGAAAGAGCTTGAGCTGTCTAAACGCTACAGCCGTGCCCTGAGACCCAGTATGAATGGGAGAAGGATGGTAGATGTGCCTGTTACATCCACTGGAGTACAAACTGATGCAGTAAACAGCGAGACAGCAGAAGAGGAGACACCCGCTGTGTTCATAAGGAAATCCTTCCAGGAGGAGAACCACATTATGAGCAATCTTCGACAGGTTGGGCTCAAAAAGCCCAGCGAGAGGTCATCTGTGCTTGACAGATATCCTCCTGCGGCAAATGACCTTACCATGAGAAAATCCTGGATCCCATGGATGAAAAAAAGAGAAAATGGCTCTCAGGTGACTCCAGAAAAAGGAACCAGAATACAAACCAGTCCAGAGCGTCCTGGGGAAGTTGTCCTTTCTCCAAAGCAAGGGCAGCCTCTCCACATTCGGGTAACTCCAGATCACGAGAACAGCACAGCTACTCTGGAGATTACTAGTCCAACAGCTGAAGATTTCTTCTCCAGCACCACCGTTATCCCAACCTTGGGGAATCAGAAACCACGGATTACCATCATTCCCTCTCCTAACGTCATGTCCCAAAAAGGAAAAGGGGGTGAGAGCCCAGCGGGCCCAGAGCGAGCCATGTCTCCTGTAACTATAACTACTTTCTCCAGAGAGAAATCTTCCGAGAGCCCAAAGTCTCCATTCATGGAAAGACCTGTATCACCAATTCAGATAATGACAGTGTCTACCTCGGCAGCACCTGCAGACATTACCATGTCTCCAGAATCGCAGGACATGACCATGGGGAGGGCTGTGTTTAGAGTGACGCCAGAAAAACAAACTGTCCCAACTCCCGTCCGAAAGTACAATGCCAACACGAACATTATAACGACCGAGGACAACAAAATTCACATCCACTTAGGGTCTCAGTTTAAACGCTCACCTGGCACTTCTCAAGAAGGAGCAAGCCCTGTGATAACGGTCAGGCCCATGAATGTAGCAGCAGAGAAGGAGGTGATGACTGGGACTGTCCTCCGTTCCCCCAGGAATAACATATCCTCAAGGCCTGGAGCAAGCAAAGTGACAAGTACCATCACTATAACTCCAGTTACTACGTCATCCACACGAGGAACACAATCCATGGTAAGCAATAGGGAATCTTGTGGAATATGTTTGCATGCAATATGGTAGGGGGAAATATGATTTTTGAGAGTTGGGCTTGGATCTGAGAGATCTGGGCTCATCCTCAACTTGGCTTAGGAATTTGGTGGCCTGACTCAAGATGACATGGAAAACCGCTGTTGCTTTTTTTTATGAATGGCTGCAGCAAATCTTGACGTCACTCTCCTCCTTCACCTCCTCTTTTTCATGCCAGAGGGAGAGATTAGAAGTACCTTTGTTGAGTGTTTTGGGCAGGGTTGGAGAATCTTTCTCCTCCCTAAGGGCCAAATTCCCTTTGGGAAAAGTCATGGGGGCACAAGCTCCCAAAGAATGGGGTGGGGAAAGGGATGTCTTAGGGCAGGCATCCCCAAACTCAGCCCTCCGGCTGTTTTAGGACTACAATTCTCATCATCCCTGATCACTGGTCCTGTTAGCTAGGGATGATGGGAGTTGTAGTCCCAAAACAGCTGGAGGGCTGAATTTGGGGATACCTGTCTTAGAACCCCAACTGTTTATGAGAACTGATGGCCCAGAGATTTCCTATGCTTGCTTTTTAGGGCATAGCACTTAGCATAAAGTAAAGGTAAAGGGGACCCCTGACCATTAGGTCCAGTCATGACCGACTCTGGGGTTGCGGTGCTCATCTTGCTTTATTGGCCGAGGGAGCCGGCGTTTGTCTGCAGACAGCTTCCGGGTCATGTGGCCAGCATGACTAAGCCGCTTCTGGCGAACCAGAGCAGCGCACGGAAACGCTGTTCACCTTCCCGCCGGAGCGGTACCTATTTATCTACTTGCACTTTGACGTGCATTCGAACTGCTAGGTGGGCAGGAGCAGGGACCGAGCAACGGGAGCTCACCCCGTCGTGGGGATTCAACTGCCGACCTTCTGATCGGCAAGTCCTAGGCTCTGGAGTTTAACCCACAGCGCTACCCGCGTCCCTATAGCACTTAGCATATATCCCTTTAAAACTCTAATCTTCACACACACACACCCTGTTGCCTATTTTGAGACTCCTTGGGAAACATCTGGGAGAGGAGGAGCCATAGAAAGGGTGGATGGCAGGGACCTTCAGTCCTGGCAACTGCTCTGTAGGGACAAGGGTTGCTGAGTTGTATGTCATTTCCTTGAATAAAGAGTTAACACTCTGGCAACTTACTCTGCTTCTTCATGCTGATGTGCATCTGACTCCAGCCCTGGCAGTGGGTGGTGAGTCCACTTGTTTCTTCCTGTCCTTTGAGCACTGAGATACTAGGAGGATTATAAAAAGACTGGGGCAAATTTTTACTTTATATGAAAGAAAACTGTAAACAGTTGAAAACGCTTGTAGGTTTGAGTTGAAATGTTTGGCAATGGGAAATTAAGGAGCTGATTTACATATAAGAAGGTGATTGCTAAAAGATTGATATAGGGTAAAAAAGTGGATATAGGTATGCGAAGAAATTGGTAATGGTGTGTGGAAGTCTGTCAGAGGGAGGGAAGGAAGTTGATGCTTTATTTAAGAAATGCTTTAAGTTATGGATTTTAATTTTTTTTATATGTAATGAAATATAGAAAACTTAATAAAAATTATATTTATTTTTTTTAAAAAGAGATACTAGGAGGATTACTGTTCTCTCCTTTTCCTCACAGAAGGCATCTCAGATGACACCGGGGGCACAAACAGGAAACTTGACCAAAATCTGTCTTTATTCCACTGCTATGTTTTTTCTTCCTTGTCTTGCAGACGGGACAGGATGGGTTATCCCAGAGACCTACACCCACCCGAATCCCTGTATCTAAAGGTATGAAAGCCGGGAAGCCAGTAGTGACAGCCCCAGGATCAGGAAATCAGACCAAATTCGAGCCTCGAGCCGAGACTCAGTCTATGAAAATAGAACTGAAGAAGTCTTCAGCCAGTAGCTCTGCCTCCCTTGGTGGGGGGAAGGGCTGAGGGCAGTGGCTAAGGGGGTATGTTCTGCAGGTTTTACTGCTACCATGGAAATAAGCCCCCTGTCCTGTTTAGTTGTTAGTGTTTGCACATACTAATTAAGTCTGCTGAAGCTGTCACTTCTACTAATGCATGCATGTCTTACCTATTGAATGTAATAATCCCCTCTTCCTTTCCTCTCTGCTGAGTAAAAAAAGAAACCCCTCTTTCTTTTTAAAAAAATGGTCTAGTTCAGCAAGTTCTAAAATGGGGCTGCTGTTTAGATTTACCTCTTTCAAGCAGCTGACCTTGTCCCCCTTATTTTGCTGCACACGATCATTTTAGTCAGTAGTTTGCCAGTAAAGTTGAGCACTTTACTGCTGCTCCTTTTCAAAGCCACATCTATCTAGTTCGAACTGTTCTCAGATAGCAACAGGCAACATACAAGTTCCTCATTTAAATACAACAGGTGTCATTCCTGCACTGCAGGAAGGGTTAGGAGTGTATTCTAGGTGTAGATCATTAGGGTTTTTGATCTTGCAGATCTTTTTATTCCCAAACTCAGGTTGGACCTAACTGAAGGCTCAACAAAATCAATTAAATCATTCTTGTTCGTGCCAATGACCAATGGTTAAAATCTGCAGCAAGTGAACAATCTTATATTTATGCCTTCTACCTTTGGATCTGGGATGGTCCTAACGTCAGCATGTTGGTAGGGGCGAGAGAGAGGTCCTGCTGGCAGACTTTATTTAGAGAGATGATATCTAAAACAGTGAATATGTTTGAGCCTCAAGATCACACCTGTATTTATCTTGTCAACACCTGGACTTAGGGACATCTGGCCAAACTGTGTGTCTTCTGCCTGCATTGGAGTGCTTTGCTTTTATTTCTGAAAGCATGCTTTGAGAGTGGAATTTCGTGTGAATATGACTGGCTGCCATTATAACTGTGTTTGTCTATTAGAACCCCAACTGTTTATGAGCATTTCTGTTGAAGGAAGTAAACAGCTACAACCAAAACCTTTAACCTCTGGCAGAGGTGACTTGACATGCAAAATCTTCTGCCAAGCTGCACTTTCCCCTTTCTTTTCTTCCTTTTTGTTTTGTAACGATCTAGTTGAATGACCTGCGGAAATTCAGCAACAAATTCCTCAATGGCTCCATTCTGGAGGAAAGGGGGAAAGTATGCACAGTACCAAAAAGGACCTCTGTGCAACCAGTGACAATAAAAAGGGTGAAGTGCTTAAAGCAGAGTGAATGGATTTGTCCATTAGGAGACGAAACTGAACTGCAGAGAGATTGTGTAGTTTAAAAGTAGTCTGAGGTAGAAGTCTATAAATGGAAGACTGCCATCAATGGCTGTAAGTAAAATATGAATGCCTGAGTTTGGGAATTAACTATACCTTGGTCTGCTAAGAGCCACAAGTATTGATTTTTTTAAACAACAACAACAACAACTCTAGTGCAAGGACAGTGCAAGGCTCTCCTCTCCAGATGTTGGTGAACTCCCCACTCCCCAACCAGCATGGGGAATAGGCCAAGGTTATGGCAGTTGTAGTCTGACAACATCTGGAAGGCTACAGGTCCCTCATCCCTATCTAGTGGAACAGAATTTTCTTCTTCACTAGTGTGTTTATGGGCTGCAGTGTTTTGCTGGCATTTCAGATTCCAGGTGGGCAGCTGGATTAGTTTGTTGCAGCCCCGAGGCACCTTTATCCATGGTGGTCGCTTTCATGGGCCAGGCAGACACTACTTCATCAAATTGTGCTCTGACCTACAAAAAGCTTATGCCACAATAAATGTTTGGGGGGGTTATTTATCTTTGAGGTGCCACAGATCTTCGCTGACATTTTGGTTTACTCGTCTAGCCTTTACCTACATCAATAGCAAATGCCCGTTATGAGAAGGAGTGAGGGATGTGAGGCTTGTATACTACAATGACACAACTTGTCCTAGCCAGCACCAACCAAGTGCCAAGCTTGGAGGGGGTTTTCTCTCTATTTTCTCTGCCTTCCCTCCTCACGGGTGCACACAATAGCTGACTTAACAATGCTTTCCACTTTTCCCTTCTGTGGTAAGGCTGTGGCAGAGCCAGCTGCTTTTCTGTCTCTCCAGCCAGGAGCAGAGAGAATGCTGCTTTATGCCAGAATTTTCTTAATGCAATGAATGGAAGGAATGACAAAGTGTGCACAAATGATTAATGCAATCCTTCCTCCTCCTCCTCCTCCTCAAAAAGGGGGGGAATAACTCACTTCTACCTCCATCTTCCCCTCTCCTCCCACCTTCATGTTTGTTTCTGGTTCAGGGGGGGAAAGTGTGACAGAGTGAAAGGATCCAGGAACAGGCTTTTACCTACATCAGCAGCAAAATGCCCCTTATTAGAATGAGTCAGGTATATGTGGCTTGTATATTACAATGACACATCCTGTCCCAGGCAGTGTCAAGCTCAAGCAAAGCTTTTCTTTATCCATAGGAGTGAATGGCAGCCATTCACTTGCATGGGAAATAGGAAAGAAGTGCATTCCGGTGGTGACTAAACCCTGCCTCCTACACCCAGTCATTTGAAAACTTTCTATCCATGTCGCCGCTCCTAGGATCTGTTTCTGGCTTGCACGTTGACACAGTGTGGGAGCTGACTTTTCATGAAGCAAGAGCAGGGAACTTGTGGCCCACCAGATGTTGTGGGACTCCCCATCAGCCCCAACTAGCATGGCCAGCGGTCGAGGTGATGGGAGTTGTAGTCCAATAATATCTGGCAGTTTGCAGGTTCCCCATCCCTGTTAGAGAAAGAGGGATGCTGATTATAAAGGACCAGATCGTGCCAGGCTGAGAAGCCTGAACACTATTCTCCCATGACTTTGCTTCTTAGCCACCTATATTCACTGCTCCTGCACAGCCTATGGTGGTGCTGTGCAAATAGGAGATAGCTATTCTCCTGCTTTGAGGAGGGAAGATTGCATGATTTCATGTAGAGAAAAGCCTGCCCGCATAAGGAGGAGGAAACTGAGCATGCAGTCACTAAATATTTCACTGGGTGCCAAAACAATGCATATTATTTCTGCTTTCAGGGTTACATAAACTGGTACGCGTGTACAAGAGCCATCTGAGCAAAATCAGACTGCTTTAAATGGAAATTTGGTCACCGGACACTGTCCATTGATGCAATTAAACTTCTTGCTGCTGCTGCTGCTGCAGTAGCCTAGATCATTTTTGCAGCTATTGCTGTTACTTCAGTACTCTCAGTGCCTTATATTAACTTGAGGATCTCCGTGTGGGTATTGGTGATGGACTAAATACATTGCTCATCCACTGAGGTACTCTTTTGAGATTATCAGAGTTTGGGGTCATTTTGATTACAATGTAAGGACATCACACTTGCATTGTAAACTAACACGCTCCTGTGTTTTAACTGGCTTGTAGCACAGGCTACTACAGTAAGGGTTATTTTAAAAAGACCTCTTACATGCTTTTTATTGCTTATCTGCTGCTGATGTTCCTGGGTTTGATTGGAGCTGTCATTTGGAGCTGGATCTTCTTCTGGGGCTTATTTTCATTGGGAATAATGTTCTTTCTTTCCGAGATCAGTGTGAGTCCCTTAATCTTGACTGATCTTTAAGAAGAGCTTGAGCGAATAGTTTGCACTTCTAAAAGTTGACTTCATTTTAAAATCATCTTACTGTTTTATCTATGTTCAGTTTTGGGGATACATAAAATTTCCAAATGGGTAGTAGTCAACAATTTACAAAGCCAAATAGCAGTTCATTTGGATTTAATTTCACCTATTTACAGGAAGGGTGGAGGGAGATATGCTCTACAAAGGTTCTAGTCAGATAAGGATTTTAGTTAAACAAACTGAGTGGCAGCCAAAATATTATGCATTTTGTCACAGGGCCCTACAAAGATATCGCCTTTTGCACACAATAATCTCAGTTGTAAAGAGAACTAATTTAAAATTATAATTTAATCACTAGGATTTAATGATACTTAAGCCTAATGCAAACTGTTCAGTATGAGCCTTATTGTGTGTGATCTCAAGGCTATTACTTATTATAATTGGATACTGAACGATTGTGTGCTATTGTATCTGTTTATAAAAGAGCAAATACGGGTATAAATTGTAGGTTCCTTTTTTCAAAACACTCAGTAATGGCAACCTGGTAAATAACCTTCATGGTTTTTTATGGCTATTTCCAAGCATGCTAGGGACCAATTGCTGTTTAAGTTAAATTAGAGTGGTGCCATCTAGTGACTGTATTCTAGAATAGCTAATTCTTTTAAAGACCATGATTGGTTTATTTGTTTGTTTATTTATTTCTGTTGTTGCTGTGATTTAACCAATACACGTTTGGGCTTGTGCACATAGGTAGCTTGTTTTTTAAAAAAATGAGTAAATAAGAAGAAGCATAGCCAGGGTAGGATTGGGGATTATATGCAAGCCAAAAATGGCTGCAAATTTATACATTTGCAAATCAGTTTAATAAGTTCTCAAAATTAAACTAGGGGAAACAATGAACAGAATGGGGAATATCAATGCATCCCTGTAATCTGATTCCTTGAGTATTTCAGGTTATAGAGCCTTTGTTCAGTGGAATATTTAGCATCAAATGTAGCTACCTGAAAAGGAGAAATATTCAGATACATGTGTCTGGTTTTATGAAGCTTCTTGACTTTGATCTAAAGAACCAAAACTCTGCATGTTTATTCAGAAGTCCCCTCTGTTTAACGGGGCTTACTTTCCTAGTACTTAAGGATCAGAATCTGTCGTGCCTGTTCAAATATCCGTACTCTGTGGCTATATTTGGTACTAAATAGTTTTTTCTGTAGAAGGCTCGTAGAACTTGTAATTAGTTTTTGGCTTATTCACTGATTTGAAGCAGTCAATTTCCATCATCCCTTTTATAGTCTTCTTTGCATCCAATAAAATATCTCCCTTCTTATGCAGAGAGACCTACACTAGAATGGACAGATGATTTAATATATTTGAATTAGCTTTTTAAAAAAGCTATATAGAAGAAAATTTGCCATATAGAGAACTAAACCCCCTCCCCCAATCAAAACTGTATATAGCATCATGATAAAGCTAATTATCTTGTAGAAAGACACAAGTTGGAAAACCTTAAATTTGCTATTACTAACTGCAGTTTGGAACTGCAGAAAGGACCAAACTCTCAGTCCCTGCTCAGTTTTTAAAAAGAAAACTATATGGGTTGGAACCAGACGGACAATGCAGTTTTCATTACTCAGAAGTAAGTACCATTGAATTTAAGGGAGCTTACGCCCAGGTAAGTGGATACAAGATTACACCCAATATTAGTTCTCATTTATTTCAATGGGACTTCATGTTGGTCACAGCTAATCTTTCATGTTAAATATCATTTAAGTGTAATTAAAAGAAATGTTATGATATAGCCATAGTACACTTCCAACTAAAGATATGTAAATAAGTGCTGGAAGTATTTGAAGCAGAGGTTTGTTTGCTTTTTAATAATAATAATAATAATAATAATAATAATAATAATAATAAATTTATTTATACCCCGCCCTCCCCAGCCAAGGCTGGGCTCAGGGCAGCTAACAACCAATTAAAAAAACGAGTTGAATGAATACAACTTAAAAACAAGATTAAAATACAGCATTAAAACATTATAAGTGAGGAGGTCTCAAAGTGGAAGCATACTGGGAAAAGAGAATGCATAAGATAATTTTTTTTAAATAACTACTTTTAGATATAGGAGTCTTTCTTTTCCTAAGGAAAAGGAAGTGTTTCCTTTTTATGCAACTCCCACTACAAGTAATATTAGCCTGCTGGTGGCAAAAGATGATTTCTGAAGCTCAAGAGTGGATGGCAGTTATTGGCATTTTTGAGCATCACAATAAATAATTTCGAAGTAAATTGATGTGTTAATGGATTGAACTCTGCTTTCAAGATGTCCACAACAGAAAGTGTTTTCACTTTAATGTGAGAAAGGGGGCTTTATATCTGTGATGTAAATAAGATCTGAAATTGTATGAATTTCTGAATTAAAAATTATTTTAAAAAGTAAAGACATGATCCCATCCTCTCTAGGTGTGGTGCCTAAATATGGAGGATCGCAGTTAAGTCTCAGTAGAGATGTTTCCTACTCCCATTTCCTATATGGTAAAACTGGTGCAAGGGACCATTGGAAGGATGGGAGGTTTGTCCTTTGCCCAATACAATTTACACGTGACCATGAGGAACTTATGCTGAGTAAGGGAACAGATGGCTGGGGATATGGGAACCTTCAGTTCATATTAATTGGCTCCCTCACTGGTTGAGTGCACAGATGGTGGAGAGAGGAGGGAAAGCTGTACAGTGCTCTGGAGAGATACTCTTGAGAATGAGTGGACTGGATTATGCTCCTTCCATTTACATATGACAAGCAGCCTCGTACCTAGCAGTGTTCAGGAATTCTAAGAAATCAATTAAATCAGTGTGGCTTTGAAATTAGTGGTTGAAATCTATGCAGTTTTGAAAGGTTCAGTCCCATCATCTTGATTCAAAATGGCGTCCAGTTGAATCCAAACATAGGCAAAAACCTGTTCCTTGATCTCAAGGAACATTGTGCAAAATTTGTTTGCGATATCTTAAGAGGCATGCAACAGCATGGCAAGCAAACAGCTTTCCAAAATGTATTGTAGATGGGGATAGAGTGCCCTCAGTTATACTGCTAATTCTAATCTCTTCTTTGGCCATCTTGATATGAGTAGTTCTGTTCTATCTTTCTTGTTTGAAGTGGCACTTTGAAGTTTCTGTAATGTAGCTAAGCTGTTGATGGGATTAAAGATTTAACAGTGTGGGTCCTCATAGACCTTTCATGTATTCTCATGGTAACAGCCTATGCTTTGCTATGTTTCTTTTCCCCTTTAGAGAGCATCATCATCCATCAGTTACGCATGAACTCAAGATGAGATGCCATGCAAGCTCCATCCTATATACTTGCACTTCTCCTCCACATCACTTGGTTGGATCACTGCTGAAGCGCCACCTCATTCAATCTTCCCTGCTACTGATTGCTTGTGGAAGTACTTTATTCCTTCCATCAGAATCTGGCTTTTTGTGTGTGCAGATCCATTAAAAAATGTTTGACCTTTGGAAATTAGGTGGAAAGAGAACGTCTTCTGTGCCAATTTTACTCTTTAATTTTGCAAAGCCTTTGAATCATGTGTGCTTTTTGTTTGGTGTTTCCTACGTAATTTATTTTTATAATACAATTTGTAATGAAAGACATTTTGTGGTTGTTTTTTGTTTTTTTGCCAAATCTGACTTTGGTGGTCTGCGGCACATTTGGTAGTAGAATACACTGTCAAAGATTTCAGAGTGCCGGTTTGTATATTTTTTATTGGAGTTTATAAAGATGTTGACTTGACCTCAATAATGGCACCTTTTAGAAAACTTTGCCACGTTTCCTAGCCATAATGTGACTGTGAGATTAATTGCCCTAAAGACTGCTCTGTGGGATAGTATTATAGTAATTTTTTGTTTTTGTTTTTGCACTGTGCTGTGGTTTTAATACAAAACTGAACACCAACAAACCAAAGCCTTGAAACAGTATTAGACTGAAGAATTGTTTTAAAATGTTGTACGCTGATTTCTATTATGCCATGCTCATATACTGTGTGTTTTTACATATGTCTGTACCAAAAAGGTTCGTTTTTAATTACACTGTAACAAATAAATTTTCACAAGTGTGCAACAGTAATATGGTGTTCCAATTCTAACCCTAGTGTTAGAAAAGGGTGCTAATACTGAAACTTACTGATCATTCACATTGGTTTTTATGCTTGTTTCCTTGTGAACCAAACACTGATCCGGTTAATCCTGTGCACCCAAAGCCTTTTAATTTCACTGCGCTCAAGCACACCTAACTCTGCATTGTATCAGGCTGCAGATCATTTACCAACTGCTTCACCAGTTGAATCACAAGTTTGCAGCACACAAGTTGGGAGCATAAAACCTAGCCTTGTTTGACTGTGCTCCTCTATACCTCAATACTATATTCTAGATGGAACACAAAATTAGTACAATTTTTCTGAGTCAACAACACTGGTGAAACATTGTGGGAATTGCATGGAGATCCTGTGATATCTGCATCATTTTTTTTAATGATCCATTTTTAAACATGCCTTTCCACCGAGATATAAACCCTACATTATTAAACTACTTCTAAAAATAGTTCTGGTTTCAAATTGTTCCCATATTTGCAGACTTTCTATGATGCTGTATAATGAATGTGAAATTGTATATAGCTGCAATAAGGAGTGTGTTGATAGAAAGAATATTTGAACAGATGGGTATCAATACTAATTTGCAACTGTACTGTTCAGAACACCGAAGACATGTGATTTAGGGGCTTCTAGACAGAACAGCCTGGGTAGTGTAAGGCACATTGAATTGGTGCATGTGGTACTCACAAACAACTGGGTATTCCTCCATTATGTGCTAATCAATGCTACTCCAGATGCACTAGCAAGGTGAGGGCAGTTGGTATAATTCATATTTAGCAACTATCAACCCCTCTTATGGTACCAGCCAGCATGGAGAGCTAGACACACTGTTATCAAGGGAGAGAGGGTGTAAGCAAAAGGGGAGGGAAAGATTTTGATATAAGCAGTAGTGAATGAGGGTAAAGAAAGGGTTACCTGTTGACATCAAGAGATAGAAGCTGTGACGACATGAGGGGGAAAAGGAAGTAGGAGGAAGTTTGTGGCGAAGAAGGATTTTTGTTCATTTATAAAATGCAGGGAAAGGGAAAGGAGCTCACCACAATGAACAAAAAGTTCCAGACATGGAGAAATGGTATGAGGGCAGACACTGAGGTGTACTGTACGTTAGATCATACAAAGAGATGGAATTGAATTGCGGTACAAGTACGTTGCCAGGATATTTCTGCAAAGTACCCAACAGGTAATATTTAAGCAGCAGGAAACCCAGGTTTGCCAGCAAGTGTACATTTGAAAAGGAGCTGTGTGACAATATGATTCACACTTCACATTCTTAGGTGTACACCTAAAAAATTTTTTAGATATATAATATGTGAAGTCAGTGGCCCTGTAGTTAACGTCTGTGAAAGTAAACGCCAATGAAACGAGGAAGACTTAGTTCCCCCTAACGAAAAAGGACAAGCCAGGAGGAGGACAACAGGCAAGTTTGTTGTAGAATTCAACTTCCTAGTGAGATAAATAATCCAACCTCCCTGCCTTGAAATTCCTACTTCAGGTTCCAGGTAGACTTCAGAAGTGTTTGGATTTGTACATAACGAGTTGTTTGTAATTTTCTGTTCCTTTGAAAATCATAAACATTAAAAAAAATCTCTTTGCGTGTACACTTTGTTTTCCAGTAATCTTTTGATGCTGAGGCAATAACTGCTATTCTTGTCCACACATTCATAGTCCCTCCATCCCTGTGATTCAGTTGCTTTGGATTTTTATTAATGATGTCGTCGTCTTCTTGTGCCACAATATTTTCCTGAAAAGATAACAAAGCATGAATATTCTAACAGCAGTGTGTTTACACCTGGAGCCAATGAGCTAGTGCCATTCCCTGAACTATAATGCTGAGGGAGGATGTGGACTGAGCTGTATATCCCAACTTAGCCCATGGACAGCGGCTATACTGTGCTGGTCTTTCTCCCCATAGTGTGCCTTAAGGCACCTGTGCCCTAAGATGCTGATAAGGGTCACTTTAACAAGGACACGTGCATGTCTATTTCATCACCAAGATGAGCGTTTTTTCTTCAGGCTGTGCGAGTTGTTAGTGAAACAGATTCCTATCTGGTTATTATTTGGTGACTTCGACCAGCATCTTACAGCAAGCGCGGCTTGGGGTTATCTATAACGTCTTGCATTGGAAACAGCCCTAATTTTATACGGTATGATGCAAGATAGCTGAAGACTAATCAGATGTAGCAGGCCAGTGTAACTTTCCATCCTTTCAAAAAAGCTGGTGGCTTTGTTGTTGTTGTTTAGTCGTTTAGTCGTGTCCGACTCTTCGTGACCCCATGGACTAGAGCACGCCAGGCACTCCTGTCTTCCACTGCCTCCCACAAGTAAAGCCAGTTAGGGCTTTACTGATTTCCAATAAAGTGCCTCTGAATCCACTTTAGAAAGAAGATACAAAGGAAATTGAGGAGGAATGCTTTCCTTGTCCTGCATCATTTAAACTGCATGTGCTTCACCTATAGTGGGGGAGATGAAAATAGACAAAGCAGACCTGGGGTGGGGAGCACCTTTGTTCCTTCTCTCTGCAAAATTCAGCATGATAGAAAAGCAAACTCACTGTAACACAGTAAATTAGGAGAAGGAAGAGGACAGAAATTAGAATGAGAGTGGGGTTGGGGTGGGGATGGCCTATGGGACTCTAGCTCCCCTCAGCCCCAGCCAGGAAGGCCAATGGTCAGGAGTAATGGAAGTTGTAGTCCAACAATATCTGAATGCCACAGGTTTCCCACCCCTGAATTAGAGGAGTTAGAGGGAATGGACAAGGTTGAAAAAGAAAGACTGGTGGTCAAGACAGAGGAAGTAGATAGGTATGTTGAGTCACTAGTTCGAGTAGAAACATTTCCTGTTCTTTATTGAATGGCTGCATGTTAACAAATTGATTCATTTGGAGTTGTGTCTAAATGGTTGTTTTACGTACCGGATATATTCTGGTGTGAGAGAATCCTAGAGTAATAGATTTCAATCTACAAACACAGTCAAGCATAAAGGGAGGTTTCTCAAATGTTGAGTGGTTTGCTGGGAAAGGCTGCTCTTCATCGCATTATTTTCTCTGCCATTAAGATGTACTGGGAGCATTGATTAAAAAAGAACTGTATTACAGTATGTTCTGCACCAATTCATGCTTCATAACCAAAACTAATCCAGCCTTCCATAAGAGCCATAAATCTGTCCTGACAAATTTTGCCTAACTTCAGTTCATCCCAAAGTGATAAGCATAGGATCACAGAACTGCAGTGTTGGAAGGGACCCTGCGATGCCAGAATATGCAGCCGCCCAGAGTGGCTGGGGAAACCCAGCCAGATGGGCGGGATATAAATAATCTATTATTATTATTATTATTAGGGGATCGAACCTACAACCTTGGCGTTATCAGCACCGCACTCTAACCAACTGAGCTATCCAGGCTAAAATACCAGGTTCTTCATACATTTCTACATGTGTGGCGTGTATACCGTCTGATAGCTTGTTTTGCATCATCAGCCCTATGTTTCCAAGATCTTAAAGTCAAGTGTTTCGACAATCAGGTCCTTCTCTATGACCGCACCAACGCTATGTTTGGAAGGGCCATTCACTTCCCTCTTTTATGGGGTTTTTCCATGCCTTTCTGTTTAAGCAGCTGTTTTGTTTTATCCCGTGGCTTTTTGAAATCTGCTGCACTAATCTCCGTTCGCCAAAAGTTAGTGAAATTTAAAAGGTGACAGCTACCGGCTAGCGACAAGATGATTGACAAGATGGCTTCTCCACACTCACTATTCCCTCCTAAACCGCCGAAGGCTTCATTTTATATTTCCAATATGTTATTATTAATATATGCTTCCTACATAGATCACTTACACGACACAGTAATCATACTTTTATTCAATTTGAAAAACAGTAGATAAAATAATGTAAAACTATCCAAAAATAGTTCAAAGCAAACTGCAAACAACACTATTGATGCAAACAAGGCGTTTCTGCTTGCGCACTATGATCCTCAAGCACAATTATGCTCCATGCGGGTCCGCTCCTTTTTTCCACTCAGTCGATACTTACTACGCAGGCGCGTCTCCGGCATCGCTCCCGGCCGTCCGACTTGTTAAGCCGCTCCCACTGGTTCTTTAACCCTATCAAGACCCGGGCGGAGGAGGAGCTGGAACCAGACTCCGTTCCGGAGTCGAGAGTTACGCGGCAAGTTCGCGTCATCGCTCGGCGCATGCGCAGGGAGCCTTCGTGCGGGCGATGCGGGAGAGGGCATGCCCAGAAGGAGTCGCTGGCGGCGGCGGCGTTCGGCATTCCACCCCTCCCCACTTTGTTTTGACGTCGCCGGCGTGCTTGCGCAAGCGCAGTCCGAGCTGCTCTTATACCGAGCGAGTGGAGGTTCCGTAGTGCCAGTTCCTGCCTCCTCCTCCTCGCCTCCTTTTAGCGCTCGACCCAGAAGCCCGGACTCTCCATGGCGATGAACTTCAACGCGAAGGAGGAGGTGGACGGGCAGGTTCCCGGGAGCAGCGGCGTGGGGGGAGCCGGGGTCGGGGTCAGCGTGGCCGGTGGGGCCGGAGTCAAGAGCCGAAAGCCCGACAACACCGCCTTCAAGCAGCAGCGCCTGCCGGCCTGGCAGCCCATCCTCACGGCCGGCACCGTCCTGCCCGCCTTCTTCGTCATCGGCCTCATCTTCATCCCCATCGGCATCGGCATCTTCGTCACCTCCAACAACATCCGCGAGTACGAGGTAGGCGGGGGCGGGGGCAGGCAATGAGGGGGTGACCCCCACTTTTGGGGGGCATGCCCCCTCTTGTCAGAGGGGGAAGGGGGCAGCCCCCCACTTCTTGGGAGCAAGCGCCGTGGGTGGAACATTATAAGCCAGTGAGTGGCATGGCAACAAGGAAACGAACACACTTTGATTTGGGCTTATATAGAAGCCTTAAAAAGGAAAAAAAAATCCTTTAAATGTCTTTCAACTTTATCCCTTTCGACGTGGAAGAAATATGCCGCCCAACTGGATAGGGCAGGTTTTTTCATCATCACAGGTATGGCACCGTCAAGCACCTTGAAAGAAATAATAAGCGCTTGTGGTGGTGGTGATGCAGAGAATTTGAGGATGGCGAGGGCACCAAGTAGCGCATCTGTCTCCAACCTGGTGGTCTCTGGGTGGTGTTGGGATACAGCTTCTGTCAGTGCCCAGATATTGTAGACAAGAACCTCCGGGTGGTGCCTGGTTTGTGGCTGCAGTGTCTGTGGGAACTTGGGGCCGATTCACGTTTTCTGTCATTTTGGGCTGACTTGTCCAGGGTGTAGGTAAAGCTGTTACCTGGGCAGGCATATCATGTGTGCTGTTCCACACCTGTGATGTGTTGGCGCACTAGGAGTGCAAGCACCTTGGGCACTGATGAGTTTTATATTACATGGGCATGGGTAAAGCCTTGTTACATGTGTACTCTAAACACAAAGAGGCGTGTGGGGAACACTTACACAAATAAAGCCTTTACTAACAACCTAAGGCCTGTCTAATTCGTGGCTCCTAGTTGTTTTGTGGATTTGAGAAGTGTGTGAGGTGCATAGGAACTGTCAACTATAGCAACTTCCTGTGGAACAGGGAACCTCCATAAAATTCCATAAAAACTGTTATGGTTGTACTGCCCCCGCCCCCAGCTGTTACTCTGAAGAAGAGTTTCAAAGGAAAATGGGTCTTTGAGGATTAAGTTGGATAGTTTGTAACCATTGTTTGCAGTTCTGGTTTAAGGAAACATTGGTGGTGTTTCAGGGACTATTTCCAAAATGTAATTGATCCAAGGGATGCAAAAGAACAGAAGTGTTTCCATAAAGCGCATATTGAAGATGGACAAAATGCATACAAATAGAAATGAGCAACAATGTACATAACTGGTGTATTAAATAGAATGCAAAACAAGAGAAAATAAAAACTGCTTCTGCAATTGTAACTTTTTATAAAGGAGCAGTTGTTTTCCCCCCTGCCTTTTCCCCAAACAGGGGAATCTTTGATCTTGCAGAAGTTGCTGAACTACAGCTATGATCAGCCCCAGCAAGCATGACCAGGAATGATGGGCATTATAGTTCAGCAACTTCTGGAGGACCAAATATTCCCTACACCTTCTACAGTTTGTTGCCAGTTGTTGTCTGAAAGACTAGTAAGCACTGTACCTGTTTGTCGGTTTATCACAGAGGTAGGGAACCTCTGACTCACCAGATGTTGATGTACTACAGCTCCCAGCATCTCTCACCATTGGCTATGTTGGCTAGGGCTAGTGAGAGCTGGAGTCTGACAATAGGTGCCACAGGTTTGCCAAGCCCTGGAGTTTTTCCTACTTTACTTTTCCTACACCAGCTTCTATTCAGTTGTGAGTGGTCATTATTTTTGGAGTCTACATGTACACTTTAAGTGTATTTTGGTGGAGACTGTTGTTGTGTCTTGAGTAAAGTTCACTGAGTATTTTTCCTACTTTTTAATGTTTAAATGCATTGTGTTGTTCATTCTATGTCATTTCATTTTGGTTAAGCTCTGGCTTGGCCGTTTACTGCCAAGTTCCTGGTGTTTTGAAATGCTGATTTAGCAAGCTCTGTTGTAGATAAAGCTTGGCTGATGCAGGAGGAAGATGATGCAGGTTAAGCGAGAAAGAAGTACTGAAGATTTGTGTGGGAGATGGAGGGAGAGGAGAAGCAAGAAGTAGCCAGGGACTGGAAAAAAAAACATTGGGAAATGCAGGGATGAATAGGGAGAAATAAGGCCTGGCTGTGAGAGGACAAAGGGGTGAGAGAGTAAAACCAACAGTGCAAAAGAACTGATGTCAGGAGAGTGCACTCTTTGAAATAAGGGGGGGGGGATACAATTAAGAGGAATTAAAGCCACTCTTAAGGGCCACTTAAGACAGACGCTCTTTGTATGTTGATGCAAGTTGAGAAGGAAGGTTTGCCCCCCACAAATAGACACCCAAGAGTGCAAAGTTAAACTATGGAATTTTCTCCCACAAGATATGGGATGTAGTGTTCCCACAAGATGTAGTGATGGCTTGAAGAGAAGATTCAACAAAATCATGGAGGATAGTTGCTACTAGCAACTTTGGCTATGTTCTCCCTCCACTGTCGGAGGTAGTATACTGTTGTGGTCACGCCCTGCTTTTGGACTTCTTGTAGGCATCTAGTTGGCCATTATGAAAAGAGGACCTTGGACTAAATGGGCCTTTGGCCTGATCCAGCAGGACTATTCATATGTTCCTGTCCAAACCACAAAGCCACACCTTTGGCCCCAATAAAGCTGAAATATTGTGGGCCAGATGCAGACAGCTGACCAGAACTGTGTCCTAGACCCGCACAAAACCTTTTACGTATTACGATAATGGGTGCAGGGCTCCCCACCTTTTTATTTGGGGTGTGTGTGTAGGTATAATTGAGGGAGAAATGCACAGTGAATGTCTTGGCAAATACCTCCTGATTCTATTCAACAGGCATAGAAACCTATAGGAGTCTTATTTTGTCTTGGATGTAGCTGATCAGTGTATAGTAACGACAACTACATCATTCTGTTTGATCATCCCAAGAACTCACAAACAGTTGCAGTTCTTCCTACTTCTTCCACCCCTAGTTTTCGGTGTGTGTTACTATGTCAGTGGGTACAGCAATTAGGCAGGTAGCCCCTATGCACCCAGCATTATTTCTGCACACTGACATAATTGCAGCCTGAGAAAGGCATTGACAGGTCCCTACTTTTCTGGCTGCACACAGTAATGTTAATTAGTTTTCTGATATTCTGATTGGAGAGTCTTGTTGTGGGCCTCAAATGGACAGCGATGTCTTGAGAAATTAGCCCTTGGGCAAACTCCAGCCCGCCCAGTGGCTTGCTTTGTGGCTCTTGATTTGGATGCATTTCATCCCATCTCCAGTACTTCCTGCCTGTAGCAATTCATGGGAAAATGTAGAGCTTAGGGGAAGTGGCCTTGCCGCAAAAAGGGCACCAACGCTTCTCCTTTTAGAATTGCGAAGGTGACTTGAAATGCAAGAAATGTTCAGGAAAGGGAAGCAAGACTCTTAAAACCAAACTTGGCATATTGCTTGAAAAAATTGGATGATGGAGAATGCCTCATGAGCTAAAAATACATGGTCCGGAGGAGGGTGGGGTGAAGGTACTATCGGTTCTGTTTTCCATTGGATTGTTGCAAAAAAAAAAATAATGGTTTGCTTTTAAGTGACTCCCCAAAAGAATTCCTTATTAGATGGGGAAGTGGATTTAAACAAAATTCCTTTGGTGTGAGGGGCAGTTCAGGTATGATTCTAGACATGCTTGCTTGTATAATGGCATTCTTCTCTGCAAGCTCCCCACCCCCACCCCACTCCAAGTATCCTCGAAATCTGCTTCTGAAGGCCGAGACACCTTCTGGAGCAGATCTGAGCTGTGCACAGGGATAGGAAGGGTAGTTGACATGTGCAGTGCATGATACAGCCCATAATGAATATGCCAAAGTTGAAGAAAAATATATACAGATGTAGTGGTAGTTTTCTGTTAGTGCAGACTTCAAGTATTGTAATTAATCCAGTCTTTAGAGCTTGGGCCAAAACCTGGATACATTGCTAAATGTGCTTTTTTTTTTGTTGCTGCAGCAAGCATACATTATTGCTGTGGCAAACAAACATTTAAAGGGGGAGCATTGCTATAGTACATTGATGGTTTGTGTGTTAAGAGAGACTATGGAACAGTCTCAAAATTCTTTTTTGTAAATTTACCATTCTTTAGGACTAAATACACAGTTGTTTTGCTTCAAACTGAATACATATATAGAAAACAAATGGGGACGGATCTCATGTGATGTAAGTTCATAATGGTAATCCTGAACAAATACTCTGTATTGGTCTCTAATTAAGGGAGATATTCGTCTTTAAACTCTGAACTTCTTTAAAACCAAAGACAAGGTTGACATGTACTTAATGTCCTCCCTTACTCACTGTGCGCTGTTAATAGCTTTCTAAAAATAAGCACCTTTGTTTCCATGTTTAAGGATACAAAGCAAATCTGTCAGTATTGAGATGTTGCTAGCTCCAGTATGGTTACTAAAATGAGACCTTGTTTTAGATTTGCTTTAGGACAAAAATATAATGGACCATAATCTTGTGTCCAGTACAGCACAGGTTTTCTCCCCCCTCTTAGTATCATCATTTAAGCAGAATATCAGTCAATGTTTCTGAAAATATTAAAAACCCACTGCAAATA